CATCTCTAAAATTAAGATACCAGCTTTTGTCCTGTTTCATTCATGAGGTTGTTGTAAAGGTCAAAAGAAAGTGAAGAAGTTAACAGATGGAAGTGCTTTGTAAACTATGAAGTGCTATACATACACAAGATATTACTTTACATCTTTAAGGTTCTTTTACTCCCCATCAACTATCTGATTCATATAAACCTATTAACTCAGATTTTATACTTTTCACAGGGGGTTTTACTTTCCAGCTGATTAATCTCCTGACTGTTTTATACAACTTTGAACTTCAATAGCTGGACTTTCTCCAAGAACACATTTATGCCCAAGCTCACCCATCCTTGTTAAAATTTTTCCTTGTTTTTTTAAACAAGTCTCTGCTCCCCATCACTTTTCTGAAGCTGTTTCTTTGTGGATTTAATTTTTCTCCCTTTTTTATCCAGTAATCATCATGGTCAATACCAAACCAAACCCACTGCTGTCCAGTTGATTTTGACTCATAGCGACCTTATAGGGTTTCCAGGGCTGTAAATCTTTAGGAAGCAGGCTGCCGCATCTTTCCCCCATGGAACAGGTGGTGGGTTCGAACTGCTGACCTTCAGGTTGGCAGCTGAGCGCTGTCACCACTGTGCCACCAGGGCTCCTTCATGGTCGGTAGACTCCTGAATATAATAAAGATCTGAGATGATAAATTTTTTTTTCTTTGCACAGTTTTGCCTTAGGCAGTTTTTGTTTCTCTTCCTTGTAGTAATGCTGTGTTCATCAGCACTATTTCAGGTGCAATGATGTATGTGATATAATAATATTAATTAATGGAGCACTTAGTGATTTATAAGCATTATCTCATTCAATCCTCACAACAATCCTATAAAGATGCTAGTAGTATCTTCTCCATTCTACATGTGAGGAATCTGAAGCTCAGAGATGCCAAGTAACTTTTCTAAGTGCACAGCGCTCTTCAGTAGCAGAGCCATTATTCACTCAGGTTCACCTGATGCCAAGTCCTGTGCCCTATAATCATTAAGCTAGTCTGCCTTCCAGTGCTGTGTTCCTTAAATCTTACCCTCATTTATTTGCAGTCTTTAAACAACATTTTATTGTTCTCATTTATATTACATTAATTTCTCGCTTATGGGCATACGTTTTTGTATATTTCTTTGCATATAATTTTCCTGTTTAGTTTGCTGGCATTTATATTTCATTTTGCCATCTTCACTGTATTTTTTTGGTGGGTTGCTACTTTTTTTTTTGGCTTGGTTTTCTTTTTTAGCAGAACTCTTCCTTCCTCCTGCACGTTTCTTTCAGTTTGGCACATGGAATGTGGAATTTAAGTCTGTCATAGATGTTTGCCTTTGCCTTCTTATCAATAAAACATTAAGATAATAAGCCATAAACACGTTTTCATTAATTGCAGCTCACCTTGCTTCTTCCAGTACAGAATGGGGTCTAACTGTGTCCCTGCTACTCTCCAGAGCTTTTAAACAAACCAAAAAGGATTCACTTCAATGAAAAAAAAAGCACTCTCTTGGAGGGAAGGACGCATAATTCATTGCAAACAAAACCTGGCTGGCAACCTGCTTCCCCAGCTTCACCTTTTTCACTGGTGATAACTCCCATGTCCTCACAGGTTTACTTTTCCCTCTTGCTTTTTTCTCACCCCCTCCCCACATGACTTTATTCTTTTGTTTTTGGTGTATTTAAATAATGCTTAATGAGTGAAAAGAAATAAAACAAAAACATCCCGAAAAGATGTAAGAAAAAAAATTATCAAAGTACTATCTCCCAGAGAGAACCATAGTTAGCATTTTCGTATATATCTTTCCAGATATATTTGCACTTAGACCATCATGTAATTATAATAATAATTATTATTTTTACGAAAAAGGTGTCCAATAAACAATTCTGTGTGTGTATACACACACACACACACACACACGCACACACACACATATATATATATATATATACCTTAACACTGTTTTGGACATCTTCACATGCAAAAATATATTCATCATCTATTCTACCCTACATAATATTTCATTGCAGGGGTAAGCCATTCCTTATATGATCCATATTCTGCTGAAGGATAGTCAACCTATTTCCTTATCTTTCCTCTTCCCTTTCCAATTTCTCCTCCTTATCCCCTCTTCCTCCTCCTCCTTGTCCTCCTTGCCTTTCTCTTCCACCTTATTCTCCTTCTCCCTCTGCAAATTTATGTTAGCACTCTCCTGAGTCTCTCCTCTCCTCTTACAACTTTAGTGCATGATAGTCTTTCTCTCCCAATTCTGATGACTTTGCTTTGACTTTCATTTCCATTAACAAGTAACATGGGAGATAAAAGAGTCTTGCTTAAGATTATACAGTAATTGTTGTCAGAGCCAAGCTAGAGCTCAATTCTCCTGGATTTCTTTTCACTAGATTGAGTTACCTCATCCTGGCTGAGGATAGAAATAGCCTCATATTTAATGTACCAGTCAAACAGGGAAGCAAGCAAACAAACAGAAGAGGTGGAGGGTGGGAGGGTTGGAGAAGAATACTCAGTAACCGAACTAGAAAGACTTGCACTTAAGAGTGCTTTCTGCTCAGTGACTTAGTTACAGGTGAAGTACAAAAGAACTCTGCTTACTTTGGTTTGTTCTAAAACTATTAAAAATGTATACCTGTTAACCTACCCAATGGTATTATATGGGACCTAAGTTTATAGAGCTAATATGAGGCATAATAAATAGACTTAATAGTATCTGTACTTAGAGGTGAGCGACTCATGCCTGATATATTAATTTAATTTCTTTTGCAGAATTAAGGGCATTGTATACAGACTCCATATGTAAATTCAAGTAGTCAAGACTTAGTCTTATACAGTCTTTGCCCTAAACCAACACAAGTAAATAAAGAAATTATAAATGTATGATTAGGTTGTCCAAGTTGGAAGATGAAAACAACTGTTTCTACTCAATACCGTTTTATTAAATGTATTTTGGCAATAAGTTTTTACAGAGCCCAGATCACTTCCTCTGTGGCTTTGCCGTGACCACTGTTGTTTCTCTTTCAGCAGTAATTGCTCCCTCTTGTCGGACATTTCTTATCCAAAACACCCAATTGGCATGTTCTAAATCATTATTTTTTATTATGTTGTGCATTTAAGATGTATCTATAAAGTAAAAAGGCTATAGTTTAGGACAAATGAAATTCTTTTTATGAAATGATATTTGCCTCTTAAAGGAGATTAAATACTTATTCTAACATTGCTTCTTGTGTTTAGAATAATTTTGGGGGGAGGGTTGGGAGTTCTCCTTGTGACTTGCCTTCAGATTCTATTACAAACAGGAAATACTCCTCCCCACAAAAAAAATTTGGAGTAGTAAAATAGTGTTATTAGAGAAACCCGCTTACTTGCTGTGTATCCCTGAGTAAGCTCACCAACCACTCTGTGCTTTAGTTTCGTCAACTATAAAACGGTAATACTAGTAGTACGTACTTGCATTTATCATGAATTAAATATCTAAAGTGCTTAGAACAATGCCTGGCGCATAACAAATACTATACACTCTTGCTATTTTCTCATCCCCCTCCTCCTGCTTCTATTTGTACTTCTTCTTATTCCTCTTCTTATTCTTCTAATCATCACAACAATCCTAAGAAGGTGGTGGTATTACTTTTACTTTCTGGCTAATTAATCTCCTGAGTCTTTTGTACAACTTTCAGCTTCTCCTTCTGCTTCTGCTTCGCCTTCTGCTCCTCCTCCTCCTCCTCCTTCTTCTTCTAATACTTCCCCTCCCTGTCTTCCTCCTCCTCCTACTCATCTGCCTCTTTTTGCATTACTACTACTACCAGCCTCCCACTCACCCCCGCTTAGTCTTTCCATTCAATTTATTCACCAGTTTTGGTTCCATATTAACTTAAGAATTTATTAGCTCCAAATAAATGACTTTTGGCTGTGTCTACAAACCAAAAACATTCCCCAAAGATGAATATTTGCCACTAGTGAAACAGTGAAAAGATGTATTGCAAGTTCTAAAGTCAATTCTGAAAGAATTGTCCCAAGAATGTTTTGAGCAATAAAAGTAATGGTGGATTAAATGTAATGCCCCTCAGATGATTGCTTTGGAGGAAGCATCTCTCATTTGGTTATGTATCATGTTTAAAAAAAATCAGCCATATACTTTATGTCTTGTTTCTCCAAGGTGCCTAAGCTTCTTGAAGACAGAGCTGTTATTTCCACTTCTTTGTAGTCCCCAGAACATCCAGTACAATGTTTGACAAATTGCGGAGGTTCAATAAATATATTGATTGGCTGCTTAGGTAGAGTTGCAGGGAGGAAAATTAGGAATCAAATGTTTTCCAGTTAATTGCAAACTGCTACACTACTTCAAATGAATTTGCATTTTATCTAGGTTTCTGGAATATGCATTAGTTGGCAATTTCTTATGTGATTTTGTGTCAATTTTGTAAATTTTATGGAATTCTAAATTCTTACAGACAGTCTGTTATTGAGTTTTTCTATTTCTATTATTTTTCAAGATGGAAAGAAGTATTAGTGTAAAGGCAAGCCTGTTCCAATTATTTTTTACAAACTTGGTTAAGAGGATAATTGAAATTTAGAGCTGGTTGGGACCACATTCTTACAGCCTAAACAACCAGCACAATACTTGAAACACAGTGGAAATTTAATAAATTATTCGGAAATAAAGGAATCATTTAATGTATTTTCTACATGTCATAGCTGAAGATACTGAGGCCCAGATAATTTGCTCACAGTCACACAATGGCATAGAAAGGATTGAAATAAATGTTTTTTGATGTCATCATGCTTTAAATATGGATTTCACATTTCAATTGTAATATGGAAAAGACTTTAAAATTTGTCTTTGAATAAATCAAATTTTTAGCTTGATATTTAATACATTTTAGGAAGGCAGTATTAAGAATTTGTTCATACAAGTCAAAAGGATTATTTTAAGGAAAAAGTAAAATGTCTTTAAGGGGCTTGCTCAGGGGGTCTTAACTGATACATTTCCTTTCTCCCCACCATAAGTTTCCTGTTTCCTGTTATGAATCATAAGGGGCTGCCACCCACTGTGAAAGACTTTATGGTTACAACCATTTTTCTCTCAAGACATAACCCATCTCCTAATTTTCTGTATCCCTTAGACTTTCAAGAAATTGGTAATCATGTTGATTGGTTTTCTGCTATTTTACAGGATGAAAAAAGTGAACCAAGTTCATGTACCTGCTTAAAGGGGCCCAAACTATCAGAAATAGGGACAATTGCCTGGATGATAACGCTCAGTGATGCCCTCCACAATTTCATTGATGGCCTGGCGATTGGGGCTTCCTTTACCTTGTCTCTGCTTCAGGGACTCAGCACTTCGATAGCAATCCTGTGTGAGGAGTTTCCTCATGAGCTAGGTAAGGGTCTCCACTTCTTGATTGTAGTGGTATGATATATTTTAGGTGACAAGCTCTTAAAATCCTGCTGATGCATCACAGTGAAGGAGCACTTGTTGGACATTGGTGATTACCTTTTATCTCATTAAAAAATAAAAAAAAAATTCACTTGTTGTTTTCTTCTTCTAGGGGACTTTGTGATCTTACTCAATGCAGGGATGAGCACACGACAAGCTTTGCTATTCAACTTTCTTTCTGCGTGTTCCTGCTACGTTGGGCTAGCTTTTGGCATTTTGGTGGGCAACAATTTTTCTCCATATATCATCTTTGCACTAGCTGGAGGCATGTTCCTTTATATTTCTCTGGCAGATATGGTAAGAAATTAAAACATTTTATTTTGCTTTGATTTAAAATTTAGAAATGAACATCTGGGTTATTCTGCTTTCCACAGTGAGGACTTTTTATTGTGATTTAAAACATTCTTAGCTCAATAAATAACTTTTCTTGAATAGTTTGCACAAACAGTAATTTGAAAGTGATTTCCATTGATTTTTTTATCTACATTCTTATTGATTGATAATGAGGTGATTTATTTTTTGCCTCATGGTAGGTAAACCTCATCTTCTATTATGTTGTTGCTAGCAGAACAGCCATTGAGTCAGTCCCCAACTCAAGGCAATCCCATCTACAACGGAACAAAACACTGGCTGGCCCTGTGCCATCCCATGATGGTTGCAGATCAAATCATTGTGGACCGCAGGGTTTTCATTGGCCGGTTTTTGCATGTAGATCACCAGGCCTTTCCTCCTACTCTATCTTAGTCTGAAAGCTTCTCTGAAACCTGTTCAGTATCGTAGCAACACACAATCCACCACTAACTGGCAAGTGGAGGCTGAGCATAATGTGCATTGGCCTGGAATCGAACCCTGGAGTCCTGCATGGATGGTGAGAATTCTGCCACAGAACCACCAATGCCCCTGTCTTCTGTTATTGTATGTCCTCAAAGGACCTTTTTTTTTTCTCTTTTGTGAGAATATCATATTTAGAAGACGAATAACTTGTTAGAGTAAACAGCATTTCTTCAGGGATCTAAACAGTTAAGACTTTTGGGCTAAACTAAAACTGGTAAACTAAAATTTGTAAAATTAAACTTGAACAATACTTCTTTGGGTCAGCATGTATTTGTATCTATGCTTATGTCTATGTCTTTATATCTGAGTGTGTGTGTGTGTGTGAGAGAGAGAGAGAGAGAGGGAGAGAGAGAAAATGAAAGTGTGCTAAGTGTATGAAAATCAAGGAATATTTCCTTTGCATTTTGAATGGACTGTGTATTACATACATAATACAATCATTTAATTTCCTTCATCTGCCTTCTTGGATCCAAATTGTGGCTTTCCACTTCTGTTCCTTGGTTTATGCAGATCCTTGAGTAGGGATTTTAGCTGTTAGAACCACTACTGCACCTGTATTTTTTTTTTCAGAATTGCTGTCTCACCCTATCTTTATTCCAGTCATCATTTCCATTTCACATAAGGGCAGAATCTATTAGAGTTGTCCAGTTTAAAGAAGTAGTAATAATAAATGATGCCATATACATTTACAGCAGCTTTACTCTTTTGAAAATGATGTCACATCTTTCACCCATTTTATCCTAGCAACAATTTTCTTACGTCAGGCACGTGCATTGACTGAGGATTCTGAAAACCCCTAAGATGCTTAGGTACAATGTGCTACAATATATATAGCAAATCATTTTGGAATATGGTTGAAAAGTTGGCATTAACAGATCTCCTCATGTAGCCTTTTCAGTAGAAGTTATCTGCTGAGAAAGGGTAGATTTGAAGCACAGGACTTGGAGTTTTAGTTGCTTTCACTGTAATGAGACTGCTATAGTCTTCAATCCTAGAACAGTACATAATTTATTTAAGAACCTTATACTTTTGTGAGGGTAAAGCAAACAGAAAGCAGCAAAATTGAAGAGATCAGGAATTAAATGTATAGTGATTTCTAAAAAAAAAAAAAAAAAATCAATCGTCTACTGTTTATTGATATTTCTGTACCAGACCTGGAAATCTGTAAGGTACTGGGGACACTGGAGTGAGCAAAATAGGCAGAGTCCCTGCATCCACGGGGCTTTCTGTCTGCAGAGAAGGGACAGAAATTTAAAACAAACAAAAAAATACGAGTAAGTAAATAATTACAAATAATAAACTATGAAAGAAAAGGAAAAGCAATATATATGATGATAGATGAATGGGGCGTGGGGGAATCTAATGTAAATTCGGAAGACCTAAGGAAAGTGTCTCTGAGAAGGTATAATTTAATCTGAGACCTGAAGAATTTAGCCCACTGAAAAACTGGGGAGGGAAGAGTCCAGGAGGAGGTAGGTTAAAGCGTGTGTGAAGGCTTTGAGGCAGGGAAAAGGTAGACGCATTTGAGGGTTTGAAAGAAGTTTGGTGTGGATACAGCACAGGGAGGAAGGAAGGAAGGAAGGTACACAGAGGGCAGGAGGGGGAGAAAAAGAACTAAAGAGAATGAATAAGAAAGAATAAAGTAAATCTCATTCAATTGATTGGGCCAGTTGAAGAACACTATTTGAGTACTTTTCTGCATGGTGAGTGATGATAGGGTCAGATATCCTTATTACGCTATCTATGCTAAAATATTTAAACATCAGAAATCAATGATCATTTTACCTCCACAGAAGTCTATAAATGACTATTTTATGTTTTACCAGAAGATGGCAACAGTTATCTAACAATATATCTTTCTTCTAGTTTCCCGAGATGAATGACATGCTGAGAGAAAAGGTAACTGGAAGAAAAACGGATTTCACCTTCTTCATGATTCAGAATGCTGGAATGTTAACTGGATTTGTAGCCATTCTGCTCATTACCTTGTTTGCAGGAGACATTGAATTGGAGTAATAGGAAATGGAAGATGGTGCTGTTAAAGAAGGCATTTAATAAAGAAAAACATCTCTGAAGGGATTTTTAAGCTAATCCTACTTAGTTAAAAGATAATTTTGTTTTCAATTGTAGGCCAAGGAAACTAATTGTTGGTTTCAGATCGATGAAGTAGACCATTATTTGTATTTACAAATGCTTCTAAATGTTTTCAGTTCCAGTTTGAAGTGCTTGGTATATGGGATCTTTGGTAAATAACACTTTTCTATGTTACATGCGTATTAGAAAACCATCATGAAGCAAGAGATATGCATTCTACAGTCATTCAGATGCCAAGACCCAGAGAAACATACAAGATAGAATCAAAGGTTCAAGAGGTTTCAGAGTGGTTCAGTTCCAGTTAAAATGAATTTGTTCTAATGCTTTCAAGAACAAGTACATCAAACTGTGGAAGAGAAACAAAATGTATGCAACACAGATAAAAATGATTCCAGCCAGGCCTTAATGAACCCAAGAAGGAAATACTGCGCATAGTTTTTGTTGTTTTGTATTTCATTTAGGGACTTGTAGGATTGTTTTGAAAACTATTTTACAAAACTATGAATTATGAAATCAATAAAGTTTTATAGTCCTACTAAGTTCAGAATTTGTCTGCTGCTTTATTTCTAAGTGTGTTCTCTAGCAGAAATAAAAAAAAACTAGAATTGTGGTTTTTTTTTTTTTTTTTTTTTTGATCTATGGTTGCACCATTACAAATGGCAAAACATGTAGAACTGGTGGAAACTCAGTGTCAGTGTACGATGTATTTGATTTGTAGAAATGAAGACTATGTGGCTTGTAGAAAGAAATTGAGTGAAATTTTAAGCAATCTGCTTTTAAAGATGAGTACAATTGTTTAGCAAAGAATTTTTTAAGTAAATGCAAAGCAACAGCTGGGCTGTTGTATGTCAATGACTGATTAACTAGACAGCATACATTCCTTATGGGTGATTAAGAGAAATTAAGAAAAGACTTCTTTTGTGTTCTGTCTACATTTCTCTTATTTGATATACCTTGGGGGGAGAAATCAGCACACCATGGTTATTTTTCTACCTTTGGTAAAGGATTGTTGTTGTTATTAGATGCCCTCAAGTCGACTCCATTCTCCTGGCAACCCAATGCACAACGGGATGAAATGCTGCTGGGTCCTGCACTGTCCCCATGATTGATTGCTGATTGGAGCCTTGTGATCCAAATGTTTACTCATTCAGCAGATATAGAAAGTTGGTCTAAATTTGAGCGTCCTAACCTGAATTTACACTCCCAAGTTAGGGAAAGATAATTTAGCAGTAAGAAAAATGATCAATAAAAGTCAACAAGGATCTCAGGAATTACATTGTCCCATGAGCCATAAATGTTCTCACATAGCACTAATGCAGATTTGATAAGCATTTAACATGTATGTTCATATATATTTTGTGTTATGATTGACAATTAAAAAATAATTTTTGATCAAACAGTAAACACCTTTGAAACCACGAATTGTGTTATTCATTATTTGTTTATTATGTATCTTCTTGAATGCCTACCATGTACCAGGAATTATGAGGGAGAGAGATAAATAGGGAATTAGTGATATGCTTATTTCAAAGATATTCAGTGAGTGAATACTGTAAAGATTTATCATTATTCATCAAAATTGGTACAGTTACTATTTTTATTTTATCTGTTTCCATTAAATTTTAGGAAATAATCTTTTCTTTTTTAATGTATAGATTGTATGCCTGATATAAGGAGCTATTTACAACATTTTATTAAAACAAGATAGTTTAACCAATTCTCAGTATAGGTCACTGTGTATGTGAATAGTTTATGTGCTTCTTGTTACTCTCTCCATTTGTTTATCTTTTGGCCATTTTCCTCAACTATGAGGTAAACCATTTCGACGTTCAACCATTTCAGGCGGTATTATATGGCCAAGAACTGACAGCACTGAAGGAAGAGGTCCAAGCTGCACTGAAGGCATTGGCGAAAAACAAGGCTCCAGGAACTGACAGAATTCCAACTGAGATGTTTCAACAAATTGATGCAGCGCTGAAAGCACTAACTTGTCTATGCCAAGAAATTTGGAAGACAGCTACATGGCCAACTGACTGGAAGAGATCCATATTTGTACCCATTCCAAAGACAGATGATCCAACAGAATGTGGAAATTATCGAAAAATATCATTAATATCACATACAAGTAAAATTTTGTTGAAGATCATTCAAATGTGGCTGCAGCAGTACATCAACAAGGAACTGCCAGAAGTTCAAGCCAGGTTCAGAAGAAGATGTGGAAGAAGGGATATCATTGCTGATGTCAGATGGATTATGGCTGAAAGCAGAGAATACCAGAAAAATGTTTGCCTGTGGTTTTTTGACTATGCAAAGGCATTCAACTATGTGGATCATAACAAATTAGGGATAACATTGCAAAGAATGATAATTCCAAGAACACTTAATTGTGCTTACGAGAAACCTGTACTTAGACCAAGAAGTAGTCATTTGAACAGAACAAAGGCATAGTGTGCCATTTAAAGTTAAGAAAGCTGTGTGTCAGGGTTGTATCATTTCATCATACTTATTCAGTCTTTATGCTAGCAAATAATCCGAGAAGCTGGACTTCATGAAGAAGAACGTGGCATCAGGATTGGAGGAAGACTCATTAACAACCTGTGATATTTGGATGACACAATCTTGCTTGCTGCAACTGAAGAGGACTTGAAGCCTTACTGATGAAGATCAAAGATCACAGCCTTAAGTGTGGATTGCACCTCAACATAAAGAAAACAAAATCCTGACAACTGGACCAATAAGCAACATCATGATAAATGAAGAAACAATTGAAGTTGTCAAGGATTTCACGTTACTTTGACCCACAATCAATGCCCATGGAAGCATCAGTCAAGAAATCAAAAGATGCATTGCATTAGGCAAATCTGCTTCAAAAGACCTCTTTAAAGTCTTAAAAAGCAAAGCTGTCACTTTAAGGACTAAGATGCACCTGACTCAAGCCATGGCTTCATATGCATGTGAAAGTTGGAGAATGAATAAGGAAGATCGAAGAAGAATTGATGCCTCTGAATTATGGTGTTGCAGAAGAATATTGAATATACCATGGACTGCCAGAAAAACGAACAAATCTGTCTTGGAAGAAGTACAGCCAAGACAGCAAGGATGGCAATACTTCATCTCATATACTTTGTCCATGTTATTAGAAAGGACCAGTCCTTGGAGAAGGACATCATGCTTGGTAAAGTAGAGTGTCAGTGAAAAAGAGGAAGACCCACAAGGAGACAGATTGACACAGTGGCTCCAACAGTGGGCTCCAGCAAAACAATGATTGTGAGAATGGCGCAGGACTGGGCAATGTTTTGTTATGTTGTCCGTAGGGTCACTATGAGTCAGAACTGACTTGATGGCACCTAACAACAACAGGAAGTAAACAGAGGCAATAGGGCATTGAAGATTTAAGAAGCAAAACAAAATTTGCTACTTATCGGAGGCTATGGTTGAAGGTAGAAGGTAGGATATGCAAAGCCTTGATTAAATTTAAATTATACTGCACAACTTTATTTGAAAACTTGCAAACCTATCGGTCAACATGTACTAATACTAGTTGAATATTCTATAATCTTTATACTTGAAAGCCGCAACTATAACAAACCAAAAATGACTTCAATACATTATATATTGCATTGTATATTGAGTTTTATGTTTTTATTTTTGCGTTATTAAACATTTAACAATGCCTACTAATAGCTGGCATCTACTGAATACTGTATCAGACCCCTATTACCATGATAATGTGAGTAACAAACTACCCCAAAAGTCTCAGGCTCACAACAATAGGCTATTATTTTCATGTTCACAAGTCTGCTAATTGGAATTTAGCTGATCTAATCTGGGCTCTGCTGGGTAGCTTTGCTTCCAGCTGTGGGTCAGGTAGGCACTGTAGTGGGCGTAGCTGCAAAGTCATTTGGCAAAGGGCATGAATGCAGAAGTCTAATAAAGGGAGAGAATGAAGAAGTACAAGCTGATTCAATCTGCCTTGAGTGGTCTTTATAGACTATCGTTTCACTTTACCTGTCGTTGTTTGTTAGCTTCCATAGAGTTGGTCCCCAACTAATGGCGACCCTGTGCACAATGGAAGGAAACACTGCTTGGTCCTGCACCATCCCCACGATCAGTTGTGGATTGGACCCTTGTGATCCATAAGGTTTTCACAGACTGATTTTTGAAAGTAGATCTTTAGCCTGTCTTCGTAGCCCATCCTAGTCTAGAAGCTCTGCTGAAACCAGTTCAGTGTCATGGCAGCATACAAGCCTCCACTGGCAGAGAGGTGGTAGCTGCACATGAGGTGCATTGGCAAGGAATTTAACCCCGGTCTCCCACATGCCAGGCAAGAATTCTCTTACTGAACCACCAAAGCCCCCGTATTTTACTTAGTTAAAAAATATATATATATATATAACATTAATAATAATTTATCAGAAGTTTCCAGAACAAACTCATTTTTCTAATGTTAATAATATCCCTGATTCCTTTTTATAAGAATATTATTTTCTTTCCGTTACCAGTATAAGTTATTCTGTGTGGTTGTGTGGATGTAATACTGGTTCACTCTAAGTCATGATAGTCTGTGTTTCTTCCCAGTTTGTAAGTCTAACCCTGTGTCTTAGTCATCTAGTGCTGCTACAACAGAAATACCGTGAGTGGATGGCTTTAACAAAGAGAAATTTATTTCTTCAGAGTAAAGTAAGCTAACAATCCAAATTCAGGGCATCAGCGCCAGGGAAAGGCTTTCTCTGTTGGCCTTCTCATCAATTTTCCCCCGCACTAGGAGCTTCTCCACACAGGGACCCCGGGACCAAACGACACCCTCTGCTCCTGGCACTGCTTTCTTGGTGGTATGAGGTCCCCCTGTCTCACTGCTCACTTCCGTCTTTTATATCTCAAGAGATTGCCTCAGGACAAAATCCAATCTTGTAGACTGAGTCCTGCCTTCCTAACACAACTGCCACCCATCCTCCCTCATTAACATCATAGAGGCAGTATTTACAACATACAGGAAAATCACACAATACTAGGAATCATGGCCCAGGCAAATTGATACACACATTTTTGGGGGGGCATAATTCAATCCATGACACCCTGCCATGGTTCATTTCTGTAAGTTGCTTAGCATATCTAGCATGGGAGTCCAGTTTTATAATAGTTCCTAAATAGCAATATTATAATAATTTCTGGACGCTTAGTGAGGCCCTCCTGAATGAACTATTTCTGATTTATCACATCTAAAAGGATTTCTTTAACTAGGAGCTTAAGTTTTTTAAAAAATGAATTAATTGAGAAGAACCCAAACAGCATTCTGCGTGTACGGGTTAATTAGCGTAGGTGTATTAACAGAGCTAATTACTGATGGCCTGTGCCAGGGCAGCGTTAACTGCCCGCCCGCCTTCCACACTGTGGTTGGCATCATCT